GCGTAGGTTTCATGTAATTTTGAGCGAAACATAATAGAGAAATAGTAATGGCCCATATAAAATCCCATATAGGGCAAGAGTCTCCTACTTTTCCGGACGGTGGTTAAAGATTAACTTATTGTAATATTTATTACTCTTTACGATTGAGAGTTTTTGTTGAAACTTAAAACTTAACATTTTCTTTTAACACAAAATTTTTCATGTTTTTCATGCAACAAAGTGTTCGCAAAATATGGAGAATTTAAACATTAAATTTTATTCTCAAAAACTGCTCCAAATTTTTTCTCCAATTTTTTTTTCGCTGATAGAAGAAGGAACGCTTACAAGAAGACCTAAAAAGGGGCGTGTGCCTTATTTTTGGTGAATTCTCTTAATTACCTAAAATTGCAAATTTAGAGTTAATGCTAGAAAGTATGTCCTGTTGGCGCATCAGTAGTGTATCCTTTTATTTCACATAATATTTTGTTAACTATGTTAAAATTATATATATTTTGAACACAGTTACGACTATTATTAGTGTAAATATTTAAAATTTATTATCTAATTTGAAAATTACTTATTGCTAGATAATTGAGTTTTTTGCAAAAGGGAAAATTACCTGCTTCTATCTTTTAAAGATCCATCGCTGTTGATACATTGTAGATTTCAGCAATGAAAACAGAATAAAATGCCCGAGCTGACCTCTGGGGTCACAGTCTATCAGTAAAGAGCGAAAAGGTCATCAGCGATAGTCAGGGAAGTTTTGTCCTAACCCAAGCTTCTCGTGCAGAAACTTTTTGTAGCAAAAGTGAAAAAAACGAGATACTTATTCCACATTTTTTACCTTTTTCAATAAAGATGTATTGTTAGAAAGACACAAAATAAATTATACAATTTTGTAGTATCTTTTATTATACTAGGCAAGATTAGTATACCTGATATCAATTAATGACGGTTACAATAGTTTCCAAACACAAACAATTCACAGTATTCAAAACCAATTTTCATCTCTAAAACTGCCAGACATCATTAATATGTGGCGTATGGGATTTGCGAAATGCAAAGAACAAAATAAAGTAAGCTCAAGTGACAAAGAAGATTTGAGCATTTTAGAAAATAGAATAACTCTTGTGATTATTTAAAGACACAATGTGAAATCTGTTCCTCTTAGAGGCTACTTCATTATCCATTCGTGAAGAGATTTTCCCCTCATGCTACTACAAGACACACCATTCACTATTTAGCATAGAGAATGGAAACTGAGGACCAAAGTTCTGTTTTAAATATACAAAATAATACAGCTTAAACAAAAATTATCGTAAGAGAATTGTAGGTGTGCTCATTGATTTTAAATGTTAGAGTTAATTGCAAGAGTATTGGGGGTTTTAGGAACGTATTAATCCCAATTTTGCCACCTAGCGGTGTTCACTAGTCTGGGCCCGTGGCTGGGGTAAGGAAGACACTTGGAGAGCATGTCGTATTCCATCACCATACCTAGCTTCACCTGCCCGAGTTTTTCTTTCATCACCCAGCTGTAGAAACTAAGACACTTTGCGTACGATAGCTATTGAATTTCGCTCCAAACGGGAATCGAACCCGGTACCGCCTCACACACAGCTAGTACGCGGTCCATGAGCTACCTGAGGGAGTTACAGAATTTAAATAACATCTAAATTTCTTTGAGGACCTTTAAAATTGCCACGAACCACTATTGGTCCGTGAAGCAACAGGTTGCCGACAGCTGTTCTATGCTACAGGAACGCTGACCGCTCAGTTATGCGCTGAAAACACATTAACTCCCAGTCCATAAAGCCGGACACCTTCCGCCTCTGAATAACAAGAAGCTCGTAATGAGAATAGGCCGCATAGGGGAGAATACGTTCCCATGCAAGACAACGGTTCCGCCTTTTCTGCAGAGACTTTCTGCATTTCCTGTCCGCGAGCAGCGCCTTTCAGTCATACATCATTCATCCCGTCAACTGTCAGCGGTGGGAGTGATGAACAGGCAGTGAGCATTCCATCCCCCTGTTCCCCTTTTACCCTCCCGCAGACATAGAACCCTGTACACCTCTCGGTGCTCTGAATCAGCATATTTTAAAATGTTCTCAGCTCTCGCGAGTTTTTGTGGCCTGTCGGGCAAACGTTGTAATGGAAGGCAGGGTAACTAGCCGTTCTGAATAAGAACGAAGGCGGAGAATTTGTGTGGCGTATATTTAAGTCCTAAAATGAAGTAATGCAATAAACGAAAGTAAGCATTGGGTTGTAAAACAAAATAATAGTCCCAAAGAAACTGCTACAGAATTAGACAAAATTCTGTATAAGCAGATTTAAATACAAATCACAAAAACATCTCTAAATGGAAGAAAGAAGTCTTTAGTGAAAGTATCATAGTTTATTCTTATTACCACTGTTTAGGTGCGTAAATTACACCGGAGAGCTGAGCTCTCGCGTGTTATAACGTGTGCGCGAGTATGTGTTTTAAGAAGGTACAAAGATAATGATAAGAGCACGATGCCTAAATGTTTGACTTTTCCTTCGCTTGAGAACAATAAATCCAGTTGCGGCTATCATTGAAAATGAGATGAAGTACACAACAACCTCATTTAATGGTATTATCACATTTTTAATTGTCTGGAAATCATCCAGATGATTCCAATTATTTTTTGTTAACTCACCAAAATCATTACAAATTCGTTTTCACGCATTGAAACCTCTCATGTATGATTACTAATGTGAGAATGTCTTGCTTTTCTTCAACTAGCTGAATTTAATATTTTCAAGGAAGTTAAAAACCTGTAACAGAAAGCGCCGATCTCTCTATATCTGCTGATGCCTTAACTCAACCCCATCTCCAGTGGCTCTTGGCCACCAGCAAAAACGTGCGCGCACACACATGTATCTGACAACGCTGTATTTCGCTTTCATAAGCATACATTATTGGCGATACATGTAAGAGAAAAGGCCAATTTTCCCTACGAAAATGTCTCTTATTACATTGGACATTGGATGTAATTCACGAAGTTTATCTGGTAATTTTTTCCGCTGTGCTCCCGGGAGAATTTGTGTGATTTATTGTATCGACAGTCTTCATTGGAATCTGAGCTGTGGCATGCTTTGGTTCAGTAACCATGTGACTCTAAGCGATGACGAAATGAAATGAGTAATTGCAGCGCGGGAGTTTCCTGATACCCTAGTTATCAAAAGAGGTTTTGAAAGTAAGTGAGATATTTAGAGAACAGTGATGGATGCAGCCATTTGAGAATGTAGTTCAATAATATATCATTCTGAGCCCTGACAGGGCTCACACCTTAAAAAATGAAAGGGCATCTCAAGTAGTATTTTTTAGTGCTCCGACTATCTGCATAAAATTATTTCTTCGTGACATCGAAATAATTTAAGTAATTTCATGATGGTGAATTCGTGGTGTGGCTGATGATTTGAGTTGATCTCATTTTTTGTTCAATCTCAAATCAAGAGTCTCTTTTTACGATTTTCCCAATAGATGTTTTGTAATGAATGAAGTGTTTCGTCAAACTTCCGAAATATTTCTCCTTGAACTTGTGTCATTGCACTTATCCCTTGCAAATTCCTTAAGGAATAATTTTATATCTGAAAACAGTGTTTTCGCTTGTGCGGCTACGATGTCGCTTTGATTTCTTTGGTAGAGCTAATTCAGCTTAGAACACATCTCTCGGAACATCCAAAATCTAGATGACGATTGTTTTCCCCCCCTTTTTTTTCATAAAACACAATCGGAACCCAGTTTTGCGAAAATTTGAGACATTTGCTCCAGATAAATTAAAAATCTTAAAATAAAAAATCTGTATTTAAGATACATGCATTGAAATATATATTCCCACATTATTTTTTATGACCCCGTTTCTGGCTCTCAAGCACAACCTATGTTAACAAACGACGTGTCATAAGAAAGACTTTCATGGAGTGGACACTAATTGTACTTCCTATTTATAAATATTCACGTTTGTAGAAAACGCATGTAAATTACTCCTAAGCGAGCGGTAAACTCGTTACATTAAGTATGTATTATAGCCAGAACTACAAAAAAAGTCTCACACCATAAGCTCACTAGGATTTTCACTGTTATATGCACAAAATGCGCTCAAAGATTAATGTTTGCTTTTTCAGAGTGAAAATTTAGGGAATACGATGGTATTGGGTGTGCTCAATTAGGCGTTTCCAGATATTACTTCCATATTGATCAAAGAATGAGCTTGGACCGTAATCCAAGACCTGAGAGGGAAAAAACTGGCGTGAATATATCTGTCGGTAAGAATAAGGGCAGAACGAATTTGAAAATAATACAGAAATAATGGTTGCGATATATTAAGAAAGGAAGAGAGTTTATCGAGTTCTGATTTTCTATTTGACAGTTGTTGCGATTCCCAATTTTGATCAGCGGTTTTCTCGTTGCCGTTGCTTGTAAACGTGTACTATCTACCATCCAGCAATTCGTAACCTGTTATTATTTAGGCCATCAATATTGACGTTCTCGTAACAACGGATTGAAATTGCTCGTCGCGTCTCAGGTGGCGGGGCTGGTTTATTTGGCAAATTTGGTAGATTATATCGAGATCAGCGATGTTAATTGATTATATATTATTTCATCTTTCAACAATGAAGTGGATTAAATTGAATTGGTTAATTATGTCATTTAAACGACACTGTCAATTTAGCCTTTCTGGTCAATATTGTCGATGAGGGTCTTAAAAATATCAGTAAAGTTTATAAGGTCATCAAGTTGATCTTGACGAATATGTTTGACTGCCCGCTGGGATAATGTCCCGAGGGAGGATACCTGGAGGAGGAACCGGCGTGTAGGACGGTGCCGGATCTCACTTCTAGCGGGAGCAGGAACGACGCTATACGACACATTATCAGAACTAATATAGACACATACGTTGACGCACAAAATAATCAACTGTTTGGACGGGTTAGGCTCGTTTCGCTCATGGATCGTTTCGCGATGTGCAGTGGCCCACGTGGTGCGCGCCGGCTGCTACATGCGCCTGGAGGCGTCGGAGGGCTTCCTGGACTCGCCCAACTTCCCCGGCGACTACCCGCCGGCGCTGGACTGCTGCTACGACATCGCGCGGCCGTCGCCCCGTCACTGCGGCGTCAAGCTCTACGGTGAGTGCCTAAGCTCTTCGGCCATCGATTACACCCAAAACTGGGGATCAGAGGGAAAAAAAAAATCCCGGAGTTTTGAAACTTGGCGTGATTGGTCGAAGGGCGTTGCCGTAAATAAAAACAAGAACTTTTAACCAGCCAATAACTTTAAAAGGGTTAGTTTTACAACGAAACCTTGAAGAAACTTTTTTTTGGAGAAAATTTTGTCTTCTTTAATTTTGTTTGGAACATAATTTTTGGTAGGATTGATAATTATGGATATACATGCAAAACACGTTGGAAAAAAAACAACATTTAATCGGCTGCCCTTCCCCCGGCTCAACCTCGCAAATCACGATTTTATTATAATGTGCGGGAAGTACTAAAAAGTCTGCCAAGTTTCAAAATAAAGGGATTTCTTCACTCTATTTGTCTAATTTTACTAAGCTACTATGTGGCTAAGCAGAGTAATGTAACGACTACACTTGTGAAAAATAAGCGTGCGCCGTTGCATAGAACACAATACTACACACACATGCAGTATAGAGCACAAATGAAAAGTGAGACGTACTGCGACACCCAAAATCAATTGCGTTTGCAGCTGATTCAACACACCACACTTAGTAACAGATAACTCACTTTGACTTATTCAAGCGTTCGTATCGCCTATAAGAGACGTAATTTAGATTTACATATAAAATTGACAATCAACTTACGCACTATACTAGAATAAAAATTATAAATTAACCGAATTAAATAAAATCAACCTTCTATCTCATACCTTATATATTTTTGAAAAATGTATTCTCGTAATGTATTATTTGCAGTAAATTTTTTATTATTTTACATGACTGTACCATTACGGTTTTCGATCTATGCTATGTGCTATTTTCGACGCGTGAACCATATGTTAAGCTCGTGTATATTAATGTGTAATTAGTTGTAAAACACTTTAAATAAATATTCGCCATTTGGCGGCTTCGGCTTTTGAGTACCGAACAAACATTCAGTTGTAGCCTACGTTCGTCATTGTAACATTAACATTCACTACATAATAGCTCATTAACAACGAAACGTAAACAAAAACATAACTTAAACATAACATATTGCTGCCTTATTATTTAACAGAAACATTCACATCTGTACACAAGGACGGAAGCAAACATACACACGAGACTGAAGTATATAATTACGCGAATGCCTAACTTTCACATTCACGCAATTCAAAAACTATTTTGCTGAGCGAGGACATTCAAAGAATGTCCAGTGTTTTATTTGTCTATGGTAACGTATTCCATAACTATTCAGTTTTTTAAGACCAAGATTGTATTATATTCCATTTATTCAAGACTATAATTCTATTCATGCTAATCGTGTGAATTTATTTAACTTAGAAGGAATGATACGCGTCATCTCGTTACGAACGAGAATACTGATGTAGAATCGTTCACCAATATAACACTATCATAAAGAAGTCTATTCAAATGAGCTCACGCACGCACAATGGTTCAAAAGTGGGTCCATATCCTATTCAATATGGTGATATATCCACGAAGTCTATAAGGAGGCTGAACTCTGATGGTGAGGGTGTATATGAAAATCGCCTGCAGCTAATCGGGCTCACGTAGCTTCAGTGACATCAGGAGAACCTTTTTAAGGCATTTTCGGCCAATTATTGGCAAGATCATGTTATGTCAACGCCATCTACACTTACTCAAGATGTAGAGTGTAGTAGATGGTGTTGATCGGGTGTGTATATGAGCGTCGTTTTGGCCGAAAAAGGCCAAGTAAAGTTCTTTTATTCACCGTCTGATGTCGCTGAAGCAAAGTGAGTCCCAATTAGCTGCCGATGTTTTCGCACATACCCCCCACCAGAATTGAATCTCCTTGTTACAGATTTCGTGAATATATCGTGTATGATATGGGGTCGATACGATGTGGGGTGTACGTGTCAAGGTATCGTGTACGAAATGGTGATGTATCGTATATGATATGGTGATTCACGCTGCGCCAATCCTTTCTACTGAGCTGACTAACGAGGCGTGCTCGCGCGTGCGCGTGTGCAGCGGAGCAGCTGACGATCCGGCGCGAGGAGGCCGACGGCGCCTTCTGCCGCACCGACTGGCTCGCCATGGAGTCGTGCGTGCCCGAGGGCGGCTCGCGCTTCTGGCGGAGAAACCTCACCGGCACCACGCGTGAGGTACACAGCGCCTCACCCACCTACCCAACCTGCGCAACCCCGCCACTCCGGCATCACGCGTGAGGACGCCAGCGCCTCATCTATCTACCCAACCTGCGCGACCTCGCCACTCCGGCATTACGTCTGAGTACACACCGCCTCACCCACCTACCCCACCTGCGCACCCCCGCCCCTCCGGCATCACGCAGGTGAACAGCCAGCGCTTCACCCACCTACCCCATCTGCGCGAACCCCACCCCTCAGCATCACGCGTGATACACCACCACCTCACCCACCTACCCCACCTGCGCAATCCTGCCCTCAGGCCAAACGCGTGAGTAACAGGCGCCTCACCCATCTACCCCATCTGCGCAACCCCGCCCCTCCGGCATCACGCGTGAGGACGCCAGGCCTCACCCATCTACCCCACCTGCGCAACCCCGCCCCTCCGGCATCACCGCGTGAGGACGCCAGCACCTACCCCACCTGCGCGACCCCGCCCCTCAGCATCACGCGTTGAGGACGCCAGCGCCTCACCCACCTACCCCTCCTGCGCGAACCCCCCCCTCAGCATCACGCAGTGAGTTACACACCACCTCACCCACCTACCCCACCTGCGCAACCCTGCCCCTCAGGCATCACGCGTGAGAAAACAGCGCCTCACCCATCTTACCCCACCTGCCGCGACCCCGCCCCTCCGCATCACGCGTGAGGACGCCAGCACCTACCGCACCTGCGCGACCCCGCCCTCAGGCATCACGCTGTGAGGACGCCAGCGCCTCACCCACCTACCCCTCCTGCGCGACCCCGCGCCTCAGGCATAACGCGTGAGTAAACAGCCGCCTCATCCATGTTACCCCACCTGCGCAACCCCGCCCTCAGGGCATTACGCCGTGAGTACACACCACCTCACCCACCTATCCCACCTGCGCAACCCTGCCCCTCAGGCATAACGCCGGAGTAAACAGCGCCTCACCCATCTACCCACCTGCCGGACCCCCGCCCCTCCGGCATCACCGCGTGAGACGGCCAGCACCTACCGCACTCGCGCGACCCCGCCCCTCAGGCATCCACGCTGAGGACGCCAGGCGCCTCACCCACCTACCCCCTCCTGCGCGACCCCGCCCCTCAGGCATTAAACGCGTGAGTAAACAGCGCCTCATCCATTTACCCCACCTGCGCAAAACCCGCCCCTCAGCATTACGCGTGAGTACACACCGCCTCACCCACCTATCCCACCTGCGCAACCCTGCCCCTCAGGCATAAACGCTTGAGTAAACAGCGCCTCACCCCATCTTACCCCACCTGCGCGACCCCGCCCCTCCGCGCATCACGCGTGAGGACGCCAGCACCTACCGCACCTGCGCGACCCCGCCCCTCACGCATCACGCGTGAGGACGCCAGCCTCACCCACCTACCCCTCCCTGCGCGACCCCGCCCCTCAGCATAACGCGTGAGTAAACAGCGCCTCATCCATTTACCCCACCTGCGCAACCCCGCCCCTCAGCATTACGCTGAGTACACACCGCCTCACCCACCTATCCCAACCTGCGCAACCCTGCCCCCAGCATAAGGCGTGAGTATACAGCGCCTCATCCATTTACCCCACCTGCGCAACCCCGCCCCTCAGGCATTACGCGTGAGTACACACCGCCTCACCCACCTACCCCAGCTTCGCAACCCCGCCCCTCCGGCATCACGCGTGAGGACGCCAGCGCCTCACCCATCCACCCCACCTGCGCCCTCGCCCTCCCTCATCTGCAACCGGTACCTGAAATATCCATGCTTTGCTTTTCGGTATTGGCATCATGGCTGTAAATACGCTGTCAGAATTTTCTGCATTACTTTAATAAAATGTACATTAAAGTAATTTCTTGAACCCATATACAATTTAATGTACACACGCATATATGGATGTAAGATTCAAAAATGTATTATCACATCTGGAAGGAACGAGTGAATGATCTGAATGCACTGGTGAAAATGAATACATGAAATCGATGATGAGAACAAGGGGAAACGGGAGAACCTCTACGTTCATTTTACACTGATTTTAATTTAAGCATTAAATTTAATGTACTATTATATTAAGTTCATTTTAAAGCACAAGTACATTAAGTTTCATGTACATTAATATATTAATCGGCTTCGGCGGCCAGTCATGAGAAGGTTCTCGGCTGTCCGAGTAACATCGCATCCACGGCAGTGAGCTGATGTTTCGGCGATCATATAGTGGCCTTCTTCATCATATCGTGGCACTTCAGCCCTGAAGACGACCAAGATATGATGGTCGAAAGGTCGGCATCACTGGACGCAGCGCCGCCCGGACAGCCGAGAGTCTTCAACAAGGCTGTAGATTTTGACGAACCTCTCCAAGCAGAACGTTCTAGAATAAATGTCACAACCTGCCAGAGCATGTAAAGGTGTCGAGGATGATCCATTCACATAAATGTACAAATATACGTAGCATGTAATAGAAAATCACATAGAATGAATTTACACAAGAGTCGATTTTGACATTTGTATCTCATTGGAAGGAAAATCATCATCAATTGTGTTCGGCAGCTAGACAAGCTCCGGGGACGACAGTTACAAAATCGATTTTGTTTGTTTGTTTGATTTTGAATTTTCTGTTCAGGCCACTAGTTCATAATAATGTGACATGAATCGTTAACCGCAGAATCGACATTGATACAAAAATGATAAAATGCTAGCATGTTATAATCCGACTGGTACATCACGTATTGAGTAATTCTCTCCCTTTACATTCACGGATGCCTTACTTCATCAGACTCGAAATTCATTATCAATGTGTTTTTAACACCTAAGTTCTTTTTAAATGCTGAAATTAAATGCACTTTTTCAGAAATTAAATGCTTTTTCTTTCATGTCGAAAAAACTCTATCCAAAAATGCAGAAAGTCCTTTATTCAACGACTAAACCATTTTTCATAAAATACTTTTTATGAACATTTCTTTTTTAGATCATCTCTCTTCAACGTATGTTTGTAGACGTCTTCATGCATAAATAGAAATTTTATTTTGTAAAATTCCATGAACAGAACAATATTTTAAAACATTTTATATTCCACCATGGATGAGACACTCGTATGACGAGGCCTGATTATACTGTAGACTATTAAAAAACGTTTGTATGTACCAAATAAAAAACAGCTCTCTCAAGTTCCATGATTTTAACATAAGGAGAGAGGAAGGTTACATTATCATTTTTATTTCATTTATTACACTAAATGCGTTGTTACCGTTTACGAATAGCTTACAGCGTATTTCGTTTCCTCCGAGAAACAGTCATATTTTACATCACATAATTTCTTCATAATATCAAGGAATCATTATATGTATTAAGTATGTAACAAAATAAATATGCTCTGGCATCCGGATCTCAAAAAGCCTGCATCGAGCAGGAATGAGAAATACCAAAGTTGACGGCCCCTAAGGCGGGATTATTACTTTAAGTGATACAGATTGGCTGGTAAAACGTGACTGGAGACTTCCACCAAACATCAGCGAGATGAACAGTACATTTATCTAAATGTTGCACTGCTTGTAATTATTGTTTATGATACCTCTACTATCCTGGCATGTGGTCTTATTCAACCCGGATGCGACAATCGGCATATTAAATGAGAAGATATGTTAATAACACGAGGTCAGATAATCTCCGACCGTATTTAAGAAAATCAACTCGAATTTTATTTCCTGATAAAACGAAATGAATTTCTTGAAAAACGTTTTCGTAAAAATTCTAAGCGTTTTGAGGTACACCCTGTTTCAGAACTAACAGTTACTTTATTTCTAACAGATTCTCTGCGAGATAATCTGACTTATATTATCGTATCTTTTGCTTCAATTATAAAACGACCCAGAAATAAAATTAATTTTACAACCTAGAGGAACCCAAGCTTACCTGCAGAACACAAATCCACAAATCGGTTAGCCGACCTAACTGGAAACCACCTCTTTGTGGCCTTCCACATGTAACCGACCACCAAATCTTGCGAGCGGAATAGTCCAACCGGAATCAGATCGTCCTACCGCCCATAAAGAGCGAGTTTTCAGAGGGGACAACGTCGTTAGGCGACAACTCACACGCGATGGAGTTTGATAGTCCACGCCGAACACCTTGCAGGCGGTCCAGTCGTGACATACGCCCTGCCTCGGTGGGCGAAGGCTGGGGAGCACTGCTCCTTTCCACAGCCGACAGGGCCTTGAACTTATCACCGTGACGTTGTTTTCAGCCCAATATTTGCATATCACTGCTAGTTCTGTGGTAAATAATGGTGGTCGTGCCCAAACAATAATCGCTTTATTATTGGGAGAACCATTCTCTGCTAAATATTTTGTATGAATTAACTACTATTTCGACGATCATGTTTTTTTCCTACAAACATATAAATGTTGCTAATGAAGGTAAACATTTTTAATTTATTTTTGCTCTAGTAAACATTTTCTATTAAAGAATCTTGAATATTTTTTCTGAATTTTCCAAAAAAATATTTTAGTGGAATAAGTAACAAAATGACAGTAAGTTTTTTAGGATCGTACTTTGTCTTAGGGTTGCTTAAGGAATTTTAGCCTAGGAATTGTTACGTTACATATTGTTTCCATTTTGAACTGTGCTAAATGATCCTCGCTCTCCCGAAGTCTTTGTGAATATTGTCCAACTGACGGTGTATCATACTTCTGCAGTAAATTCCTCTATATTGAAGAGAGGTTTTGTAATACAGTTTTTCGGGAATATATTTTAAACAATAATCAAACAACTTGAAGTCTCAGTGAAATAGAATAAAACCTTTTCAACTTTATTTGATTGAAAATTTCAAAAGCTTCCGAATTTGACAAACACTGTTTTAACATCGCCACTTGAATTGTTTGAAGATGATAACATGCACTTTTCTTTGTGAACTTTTCTTTGCGAACTTTCCTCGCGATCAATCACCTGGAAATAATCCACTGACTCATCCCTCAAGTGGGCGTCAATACGATGACTATTTCCTGTAAAAATAAGGTGCAAAGGATTGAACAACCATCCCCCTGGCTTTTGAAAACAAATAATTTACTTGAGAAAAAGTACCAAATGTGATTCTAAATTATTGAGTTACCGAACCAAATGCAATTTGCATGCCCATCATGTTCACCCATACACCATGAATTTATTAAAACAATCATCTGTGATACAACATAATATTATGTCACCGTATATGAATATCTAATATGGTATTGAAAATTTTAAATGACTATTATATTTTTTTCTTACTTTGCGTGATTAATAGAATTCTCAACCAAATCGTAAAATAAATATCTTTAGATAATATTTTCTATGTAATACGTTAAAAATTTAATGACTTGAATTACTTTTATTATTATTTTGAAAATTAATTACCCGTTTTAATCGTTAAACTTATTTATATTATTTATAAAATTGACAATAAAATAGGTTAAAATGTGATTTGATGTTTTTTTCTCACCGTTGGCATGTCCCTAGACCAATTCTTGCGGGTGCCCTTGTTTCCCAATCAATTGCCTCTCAGCGCTAGCAAATAATTGTCACCTAAGATCGCCACTAGCGGCAGGTCCAATGGTCACTATCACAATTATTACGTTCACTTCATGTCTGTTTTTATTTTTTAACATTTTCGTTGTTTGTGGCTGTGTAATTCTGCTACATTGATTTGTTTCACGAATGCATCGCGCTGTAATTGCGCCTGCTCCCTTGCAGTGCAGTACCTGTTCCAGCCGGGCGCGCGCGCCATCCGGCTGCAGTTCCACAGCTCCCCGCGGCGCGGCGCGGCCGGCGGGGGCCCTCTTCGCTTCCGGCTGCGCTACCGCGCGCTCACCAACTGCAAGGGGCTCTTCCAGGAAGCGGCGGTCTCGGCGCTGCCGCCCGCCGCCCCCGGCGCCGCCTCCAGCGCCGCCCCCGACGCCCCGCCCTGCTACGCGCGCATCGCTGACAAGCGCGGCGCCATTCGCACTCCGCGCCACCCCAAGAACTACCCGCCCGGGCTCGACTGCGTCTACGAGTTCGTTAGGTGAGCCTCCTCCTACGAGCGTTGAGGCCGCCAAACTTCGGAAGCTAGTGAGCAACCGTACCATTTTAAATCGAACTCTCAACTGCCAAGAAACCAAGACAGACTTTTTTTTTCAAATCTCAACATCATCTATTTGTCTATCATCTTTCATCTATTTGTTTATTGTCTATAAACGTACACGTCTATTAATTATGAAACAAATTATAATAAAGCTGAATTCAAGAAAAATAAAGTGAATTGGAATTGCATATTACAAGAAAATGAAATAGTTAGAAACACATTATAGGGTTTCCCAAAAAGTTAGCAGAGGTATATGAAATGAATGTGAATAATTTCTATACATAACTCATTGGGCAGGTCCCTCCCCATTTAGTTTGACATAAAAGAGTGTCAAAATAAACGCTCAAATCACTGAAGAAACCAGACTTTGCCATTAAATTTATTTCACTCAGCGAATTGTTGTTTCCGTTTATTACATTCCTATCTAAACGCAATTTTAGTCATGTGCCCGTCTATGAATTGTGTATTTGGCTGGCTCGACCACGAGAGATATTGAGATTATCCATAAATTTACGTCCCGCGTGGGGGAGATTTTATCCGAACTCAGAACAATATGGTAACTATCTGAAATAATTCCATTTTTAAACTCCAATTGCACGTGCAAACTTGATGTCTCGCCGGAAGATTCATATTAACTAGTATTATGTGGCGTTTTAACGCAGAAAACTCTAAAAAGGCTGTAATGATTGTTGAAGGAAATATTGTTGCTCATCATCGGGATTAAAATAATACATTTTGATACACTTGTATGAAGAACATCTATGATTAGTTGAAGTTTAAGGAAACACTCTTACTCTCCATTCTTGAATTTTTTTTTTCCTAAATTGTTTCCGAATAATTCGATAAACGAACACAGTCTAAGATTCACTTCCTCGTCGAAAATTAACTAGGACACAAATCAAATCATCTTTGGATTTGAATGCTTTCAGCTTTTTTGTCACGTGTGTTGCATTGCAAAGACGTGGTAGTGTTGAAATCCGCCGTTTTGATACACCCATTAAACATAGAATGAACAACTAAACTATTGAAAAAAAGCAAATAACCAATGCCTCTCTTAGCCGCATTTGCTCATTATAATAATAATAATAATAATAATAATAATATAGTAATAATATAATTATTATTATAAGTGATGGGTTAATTGCACAATAGCGGCATTACATCTCTCTGAAATATGATGTTTAATGTAAAAGGTGTTCTCAGTGATTGATTAAAGAACTTCATAGCTCCCGTAAGGCCTAAAAGAACCGCCAATTATAACACAATTTTTGACACCTTAGTTAATCAAGTCCTTTTCATTTTATATTACGCGAAATTCCTGGTTTATTACATCCTTACCTCGACACATCAATTTTATTTTGCACAATAGAAGACGTAGCACATACAAAGTCTGAAGAAATTTTAATATAGCTGAATTTTCTCTTCCGCCTTTGCCTTCCTGATGTTAATTTGTATTAGCAGCTTTCCATGGGACTGGACAATATCGTTAAAAGCCGAAATGAACTTATCCTTGCTTTTCCAGATACCTATCCTAATTTTTCCCTTTCTTGGCGCTTTTTATGCTCCACTAAACTGTTCCATTTGTCTGGGAGCCACTGAATAGAAAATTAATTGATTGGTGTTCAGGCCGCGTATATCATTAGTCCCATAAGAATAGTACGTATTTTATCGTGGAAGGTGGCGGTGATCCTCGCCACTGGATGGTGAGATCCGGCGCCGGTCTACACGTCGGTTTGAAAGTATCTCGCCTCCAGGTATATCTCCTAACTACCAGCTAGGACAAGATCTAAGCTCTTCACAGGTCTCCTGGCAAGAGCAGAAGTGTAATGCATGTGTGTCAGGGAAGAGGATAGAACAAAAGGAGAAGGAAAGATCGCGCACAGTCCGTGGCCTGTTTGTTAGGGTTCCGATCCGGCATTTACCTGGCACTGTTCGGATAAACTACGGAAAACTGGCGATGAGAGCTACCGGCCGCTAGAATTCTCCTCCAGGCAGCGACTGAATTGGACCCAGCTATCTCGCTACTGTTGAAAATCCTGCCACAGTCGGAACCCGAACGCTAGAACCTCTAGGTCAGAGGCACTGCAGTGACATCAACTGATGCCCTGAGTCGCCTAAGCCGATCTGAATGGAAAAAAATATGCCAACCTAAAAATGTTTTCTGGACAATTATGAAGTAAAAATTGCATGTATAAAAAAGAGATTGTATTGAATCTGGGGCATTGACGGGCTTTTTTTTCAAAGATGCATTTCCATTAAGTTTGTTTTCTAGTTTTACGCAGCAATATATTCGTAACAGTCGTATATCAATGTCAGGCCGTTCTCCGAAAACAGAAACAAGGGAAGGGGAAGTTAACGACGGATCTCAGAATAAATTGTCAAATAAATGAAGGATAATTGTATACACAGCATAACCTCGGAATTCCGAACTAATTGGGGCGTGTGCTCTGTTCGGATTATCCGAAACCTGTACCGGACTTAAACAATTACATATAGCGTATGATATGGGGAAATGGCAACGTAGCATAGCGACATGAAGTGTCAATGTTACGAACAACTGTGTACAGTACGTACATAACCGATCGGATGTGGTAGCGTAATGTACGTCGGAAACTTTATATATAATTAAAAAATATTACCATCATATTCTTTTTTTTTAATTATTTCGAAATTTAAAATGTTCCTCCGGTTCCATAACTTATCTACAACGTCAAACAAGACTCCAAACTATTTATGGGCAGGGCTGGCTGAAAGAGAACGCCAGAGTTTCCTGGAAGAGATTATACGTGGCGCCTGTTTCGATTTTATATATAAATTTTCGATAAGCTTTGAAAGAGGTAAGCTAAGGTGTAAGAAAGGTTCTAATAATAAAAGCCCTAAACGAAGGAACTACTTCTTACTTAAAGGAAGAGATAGAGGAGGGAACTGTTCAGAGGTCCATCGTTGACCTTCCCGTCCTCCATTCGAACGCTACGGTTTAGAGACTTCTCCATCGTGCTACATTTAAAAATTGCGTTTTACCATATTAAATGGTAACAGAAAACCGTTGAATCCTATCTTGAAATATATGGTGGAATGTGAATAGTCCCTCTTCACAGAAATAGTGTTTCGCGAAGTTGTGTCGCTTTGGAAATAAGTTCTTCTGTTTTCCTCATACACGTCACTGATACTCGTGGTGACTTTAAAAGGTTTGAGAGACGAAGTATTACGTCCTTATGGTTCTGCTTCATGAATGTCGACATTTTTAAGAGATAGGATGAAGATTTAAGCCACAATCTTTTCGACAGTAGAAAAAATGTATTCAATTATATAATAAATATCAATATATAAATAATATAGCATTGCTTCCCCAATTCTAAAAGGTTGTAGTTGTCGCTACGGGCCATTGGGTCACAGGCGGCCCATGAATCACGAGCACAAGCCGCTATGGGTCTATGGACCACAACAGTGCAAAGAATATAAACGTTGAGGCAGGTGACCAGGGTGTAAAAAGGCACTGGTTAATACTGAATTCCTAAAGGGAACACGATGTTAGGCGCAATTATGGTGATATATCAACAAGGTATCATAAAGAAATTACTGAAATTTACGGTTTAAATTAAATCATAATAAATGTATTATTAGATTCATCATTAACCATCATATTTTATTTTATATTATCGTATTTTTCTTCTGAATGTTGGTAAACTTGTTATTGCTTTAATTTGAAGCGTTTCCAGTTTGTCAGTCCCAATAACGTAAACCATGTTTGAGCTGCAGCTTAGTGGCGCCCACGCGTGTGCGCAGGCCCAACCCGTTCATCTGCGGCGTGCGCATGCGCTCCGTGCGCTTTGAGCTGGAGCCGGCGCTGGACACGCCCTTCGGCGGCGCCTGCTCCGACTTCCTGCAGGCGCCCGGCTGCGGCTTCCTCTGCGGGCCCCTCGCCTTCACCTGTGAGTACGCGCGCCCGCGCCCGCGCCCGCGCCCGCGCCCGCGCCCGCACGCAGGAGAGGGAGGGAGAAGCGATGAGGACGGGGGAGAGGGAAATGAGAGAGAGGAAGCAAGGGAGAGAGATGAAGAAAAAGAGGATGAGAGGAGGAAAGAGAGAGAGGGAATTGGGAGAGAGAGGAAGGAAGGGAGTTAGATGAAGAAAGGAAGGGGGATAGTGAGGAAGAAAGGTGGAGAGGAAGGAAGACAGAGGAAGGCAGGGACTCAAATGAAAGAAGAAAGGAAGGGAGAGAGAGATAGGAAGAGAGACGGAGAGAGAGGAAGAAAGGAACACACAAGAAACTGGAATGGACGTGAGAGGAAGGAAGGGACAGAAAAGGAAGAAAATAGAGAAAGGAAGGAAGGGTGGGGAACTGAGAGAGACGGGAAGGGATAGAAAGAAGAAGAGAGAGGAAGGGAGAGAAAGGGGAAGAGTAATAAAATGAAAGAAAGAGGGAGATAAGAAAGGAGAGGGAGGGAGGGAAAAGAAGGGGTAACGGAGATGAAAAGTGGTGAGGAGAGGGTGTGAGGAAAAGAATGACGGAGATGGAGTGACGGAGAAGACAGAGGGAATTTTCGAAAATGGCTAGTATTTCATTCACGTTCCATTATTTACAATACACATTTTGGAAAGTTATTTAAAGCTATTTATATGGATATTCGTTGTTTATTAGGGCTAAAGATTTTTAATTTTTTTCTCTGTAAAGAGTATAAGCAAAAATATGAAATGTGTGTTTTTATTTTTTCCCCAAATATTGTATTTTGAGATTATATTAATTTTCCAATTTTTAGATAAAAGTCTCGCATTGCTTAAGTTAATCTTTTTAACTCCTATTGTAATAGTTGCAGAAATTTAAAATTTTACGACCCTAAAGAACAAAAGATGATTTTTCATTTGATGTATTTATTGAATTCACTAAATTTTTAAAAATATTTTTGAACTATTTTCCTTTTATTTTTTTCAAAAATAGATAATTATACGAATAAGAGTAGATTTAATTACATTTAGAATTATTTAGTCAATAAACAGTAAAAGCTGCATGTGACATATGGGGGAGAAGATAATCTGCGCACGTTTACTTGAGTATCTGATACAGTTAATTAAAAATCAACTGTATCACATACTGTAAATTAATTAAATTGATACTTCTTTTACTTCACTTTACAGAGAATATGATTAATTGACCTTTTCATAAAGAAATGAAACTATGTATTTTCTTTGCGCCTTCTACTGTTTTTTATTATATCATTGTTATAATAGTCCTTTTTCTAAATATTCAGCATTGCTAAAAATATAAAGGTAATGTTCTTTAAATTATCATCAACCCACTTAAAAACCTTCTTGGGTAAATTAATAGGTTCCTTTTAGACTTGAAGGCTAGCTTTTATTAAGAATATTACAGTTGCCCCTCACCCTCCAATCACTAGGTCGCAAGGTCCATCACCATAAATGTTGCAAAGATAAGAAATGACATTCAGCATTCATATTGAAGATATCTTTTTGGAAGCATAAATTTACATTGTTTTGTGAATACTAGGGACCGAAAAATATGTCTGTTAACAACGTCATAAACTTACTTGTTCTGTGTCATGAGTTTACACTGGCAATGGTGAATTGTCGTGTCGTGTTTCAGACATCCTGAATTTTTTTAAAATTCTTTGTTTTCTCTGATGTATAGCACAAAAGGATGCAGAGTAGACAAAACATTAATTTATAGCAGTCACTTAATTACATCTTCAAAAAAGACTAATTTCCAAAAAAATTACACTGGACAATGGAAATTACGCGTCAAATTTTTATTTTTGTTTCATCAAGAGAGGGGAAGGCGGTATACGATGAGTGAAAACAGCAGAAGCAACACAAGTCGAACTTACTCGGTCAGTTTCTTTATTACTTGTACCAGGTGATACGTTAGGGTGACCAAAGCCAGCAGTGCACGTTATAACTCCCAACATTTCGGCAAAATAAATATGGAAGTTCTCACTTTCTTGAAGATACTTTACTTGATGCGTCATGAGAAGAAATTTTGAAAACAAATTTTTCCAATAATATAACTTTTTTTACGGCAAACAGTCAATATTCCACTTCTCAAAAATGCTGGTTGTAATAACTTAAACGTACACTTCTTCTGAAATTATAGATTTTAATATCAACAAAATGCAAATAACAATAGTACTGATATTATTGTAAGCCTATATGTGGTTACTAACTTCACAGAACAACGCACATTCCTATATTTACACAACTGACTCAGTATATCTGAGAAACAAGGCTGCTTTGTTTCAGGCAGACGCTAGCGCTGTCAGTTGTTTATAAATAATCTTAATAATCGCATTTCGTCAAAATACTTCTATTTGGGTTTCTGCGATTTCTTACATTTTGTTTGGACGTCACGATGCGTCGTGTCATTGACGCCACATGTAGCGAGTCCGGCGGATAGCGGGCTGCCTACGTGCGCCGGTGAACAAACTATTTTTTTATGTTTGTGTGTATCGCACTTTGAAATTTGGCAGATCTCCTCAAAAATAGTGTACTTTTTACAATTAATTTAAGTGTCAACCTAAAGTAAAAATTTGCATTTTAAAAATTAAAATGTATTTTAAGTAATTAAACAATATGATAAAAAAAACTTATATTTACATCAAATGAAAGTAAGTCTTTTTAAGTTCAATTTAAGTGTAATTTTTTCTGAATAAAACGGTATTTGCGCCAAAAATACTTTAACATTAGCGCGCGCATGATTCTTCGGAAAAAGGAAATGGTAATATTTCTGAAAGGGGTGGGATTAAAAAAGGAAAAAAAATACGTGCCACTCTTTTTCAATCCTAGAACCCATAAACATTTCAAGTCGCTAAATATAGTGATCTTTTGTGAGCTTGCGATTTGACTCATATGAGTCTCATATTAAATCTGCTTGTATTGTCAATCAAAATATCTACTATCATATGATTCACATTTGCGAGTATTAATAGCTGACTTTATAATTTGTACCACCTACGTATCTTTGAAAGCTATCTTTAAATGTACTCGTATGTAAACTCATTTGCATGAACACGTCACACAGATTTTTTAATTGCTTTTTTCATGTGCTTACTATTTTCGCGTATGTGAAAACGTATGAATGCCGACAATTAATGATGAGCAGGTCGCATCCTGGTGCTTTGAATACCTAGGAACAGGGTGTAAAGGCAGCAGACACTTTTTCCAATCCGCTCAAGAGATGGAAGCTTAGAAATGTGAATGAACTTAACAGGACGGAGACAAGGATGTTGTTTATCACCTGACGGACTTACGGTCTCGGGGGAGGTAATTTGGAGGACTATTACGTATTCGTGAGCAGGACTGGCGAGTTTAATCAAATGTAATTGTCGAATAGCACGCGTGTTTGAGCGCTGTTTCCTACCTTCGCGGATTTCATGTTGTTCTGAACAGGAACAACATACCTCTCATTGCGTGCAGTAATTTACACTGTGATTGCAGCATTTTTTAGATAAGTTTAAGGAAAGATGTCAAGAAGTCAAGAATAATCATCCAGGGAATGTTTTTCACATGCGAATTTCTTTCATTAAAATTCTTGTGGCAAGCAGAAAATTATTTCATTTGTAGATATATATTTATGACATGGAGGTGACAGGAACAAATTAAAATGAAAATATTCAAATGCTAATTTACATTCAGGAGCATTTGTATTCTTATTATTAATTACATACAATAATAATTTAATAGTTTCAACTTTTATAAATATTTCTTTGTAATTACTTAGAAAAATATTCAAGAAATGTATTCTGTTTGCTCATTTAGTAGTGAACATAAAAAACACTGTCAAATTAGGAAGTAGTTGGCTATACTCCGCTGATGCTTTATTCAAAAGATCATTCCAATTATTCACAAATAAATGTTTCTTCATTTCAATATTTTCCCAGTATAGTAAAGGGTTGATAAACAAATTTGATAAAATTATTGCGTTAGGAAATACTCCAAAGGTGTAGAAAGAGAGAAACTCGAACGAGTGAGTTCAAAGAACGCTTACCAGATGGCAGCTCTGGCCACTTTAGAGCCAACTGGAAGGTAGCGTGGTGAACACTCGACCAACAGACATTCTTTATATCTACGAATAACGTATATTCCGTAATGTAATACAAATTGAGAATACATTTTGTTCGAATAAACTGTAATATCCTGATTTGAAGAAACGCGCGTGTAACATGAGCAGAATATTAAGAATTCCAACGATGTGGTGTAAAATATGTTGAAGCGAAAATGTTTTCAAACAAAATTATTGGATCCAGGAAACTAGAGCTGATAACAAAAAACACAAAAATGGAATTTTCTTACACATTTCAATTTTAATGGTTTCTGACTTTTTCTTCATTATTATTGTTTTGAGGAAAGGTGAATTGTATAGTTTTTTCACATAAATTATTTTCTTCCTCAAATATCCAATTACTCATATTCACAAATATAGTTTTAATAACTTTCAACGGTATCAAAAATCATTAGATATAACAAAGGTATAAGTGATAAGTAAATAAATACAAAATTCACAAATTTGAATAAATTTTAAATTCTGCATAAGTGCATGCAACATGCTTTTTTATTAGAAAAAATCAAGTCGTCTTGTGTCTGGTTCCCTAAAATATCATATTTGCACCAATGAGTACTGGTCAGCACATTACCTTAAATATTGATGTGTGATTTTTAATAAAATTAACCAATAGTGTTAATAACAATGCACATTCAATTTACAGTGCATCAATAATCAATAAAAAGTAACAAATACTATTATGTGAACGTGGTTCACTAGAATTTAAGCAAACAAAACTCTTTGCATAAGCAAAGAAATATTCGCAATTCTTCTATGTTCGGATAAAATTGCAATGTAACTGAAAAACAATAAACTTTTCATATTTAGTATTCACTTTACCTTATGTTAACTGAACATTCTCCGCTTCTTCAAAGCATCACATTGCAACCACTTCGAAGTGATTCTGTAATTCAAACGTTGCTCTCTTTTAAAACTGGTACTAAGTATATATATTTTTTAAATTAACTTTAAACGTTTTATTAGTGCTCATTTCAGAAGTTAAGTCAGTTAATCAGAAACGCAATTGCAAATGTACCTGTCCAAACCCATTACCAATTCAGAAAAACTTGGC